TTCCTCTGGCGGGAGGTTCCGGGCTGCGGCTCCTGCCGCTGCTGCTGCGTAGCTCACCTGAAGGAGAGAAGTCTCTCAACCACCCATTTGCAGGCTTGGGGCTTTTGGACCCCCTTGCGGGTAACTTATGCCTCTTCATTATTTATAAGCACGCTACCTTTATTAGCCCTTAATAGGCCCTGTGGCATGTGGGTAACCCTTGCTCAGGGCTTTGTGGGGCTCCAGCCTGGTGAGGTCTGGCCCCCTCCAAAGCCATTCCCGCAACGCACCTGGTGCCCGCAGCAGCCCCGACCCGGCAGCAGAAGTAATCCCGCTGATGCCCGGATCTGTCCCCTTCCCCACACGGGGACAGGGGCAGCAGAGACCCATTCACCACGGGACATGATACCTTAGCAAGAGGATCAGTCCCTGCAGGTACGCAGTTAAACAGGGGGATGTACGGCCCTTTACCAGGGAGAAGCTGCCCAGATTAGTCTGTTCAGAAATTGCAATTATATTTTTTTTTATAGGGAAAAATCTTATTTCCCTTCTTCATTTCTTCCTCTTGAAGAAACTTTTCAATGTTAGGAAAAGCCTTCATTATCTTCTGTCATCCCCAAGTCATCCTCAGCCACGTCCATTAGGCTCCACCATATCAGAGATTTTTGGCTCAGGTGGGGTTTTTTTGTTTCTGAGCAGATTCGCAGTTTCTTAAATTTCTTGGTCGTAAAGATCCAGAGGAATTAATTGGTAGTAAAGAAATGAGGGCCCCGTTCCAGTGAACGGGCTTCCATGTGCAATTCAACTTTTGGTCAGGCATATGTGTAAATAAATGCTTTACTGGACAGGTGCCCATAAACGGAGACGTGAAATGCAGTTTCCAAGCCATGAGGTGTGTACAGGTGTGATGGGAGAACGGACGTCCATCAGGTGCGGGTGTCATGATGCAACCGCGCAGTAAAGCATGCGGCACAGTCTGCAGCCATGGGAACCGCGAGTGAATTTTTGTTCCTCTGTGCAATGAGCTCTCTGAATCCGGGGTTACGCAGCTGCTGCATCACGGGGAAATGTGAGCAAGCCAGGGAAGACAATTGTGAGAAGAATTTGGTTTCTGATCACTGTGCATTTTGTTAATTAGTTAATTCAAATAGTTTTATTTTTACCAAAAACAGATAATCTCTATTCCAGTAAAGACAACTGTTGACTTGAGATATATATATATATATATATATTATTTGAATGCTTTATATCCTGTTGCTCCAACTACATAAAATGGAAACATGTTGCAAGTTGTGTCATTCCAATGTACAGAATAAATGACTTTTCCCTGCATGCTGCCTGGGTATGTTGTGATTTGAATTAAGAGTTATATTTGAATTGCCTTATTCAAGAGGTTGTATGTTACCTAACTGGGGAATGACCTGGCACTGTTCATCACATTACATGTGTACTTGATGCTGTGTTATGTCAAATTCAGATGAGATGTCTGTCATCTATGTATTTTGTGGGAGACCTTTTATCTTGTTAAACTGTGATATGTAAACCGCTCATTGCCTGAAATAGTCAGAGTTGTATAAATCAGTGTCTTCAGCTGTTTTCCTAATTTTATCACATTTCCTATCACAAAATATAGATGTTTGTAAATTCTTCATTCATTTTGTCTATTTTTATGTATGAAGCTTTTTTAATCTGGCAAAGGAGTAAGATAAGGCAGCTTCCCCTGAATTTTTCAATCAAGGCTCAGTTACATTTCTATCCCTCAGCAAGATACAACAACCAATTTTCAGCAGCTACAATAGGAATTAGGGATGTATGTTTATTGCTATTATCTTTTCTGGCTCAGATGGGCCATTATCACTGCAGAACACAATGATTAATGACAAGCCATGGGTGATACTTCTGTAGTGACAGCCCTCTGGGGACCAGGCGCTTTACAGCAGCTTCTTCAGGCCCCACACCTTTGCCGTGCCATGCCGTGGGTTGAGTGGGGAGGAAGAGGGTAGGTGTTCCTGCCATAGCCAGGCAGCCTGAAGGAGAGAGGGGAGAGATGCTGTTTACTAATCCTGGCTCCAATCCGGGCTTTTTCTCCTTACACGAGGCACCCCAAGAGCATGCTGCCTGCCCTCCTGCATGACACCCCGGCCATAAAATTGCATCCTGTCCATTCATTAACCCCACGGCTGCAGCACATCGCTGAAGACCAATATCGCATCCTGACACTGCACTGTGCAAAATCTCCCTTTCTACAGCACCTGCTGAAGACACGCATGTGGTTTTTTTCTAGCTTTGGTTTCCAGCCAGGGATCACGTTACTCCACAGCTGGCTAACAGCGATGTGCTCCCCATCTAGACACCAGTATACCACCTACAGGTCAGATCCTTTGGAAAACATGCTGCACTGTTGAAGGAAGCAGTACAAGGTAGGCACAAATCTGTTTTGGTGGTGGCACAAGGACAAAAGGTGACCCAATACCCCTAGCAGCAGGGTTCACCAGCTCTGCCGTGTCACCTCTCTTGTCCCACCCAGATACAACTGTCTACATCTCTTGGCTGCATCCCCATGTGGCCAAGAAACAGGTCTGTTTGGGGAACAGACCCCCAGAAGTCCATCTCCAGCTCTCAGCTGACTGGAGTATTTCTGGGCATTTTCCTTCCACGCCTAAAATGCTAAATAAAACAGTTGTTGGGAGCATTAAAAAACTCTTGCCAGAGCCAGCCATGGTCCCTGCTGAGTTGTACAGGTGCCACATCATCCTAAACACAAGCAGCATAAATGTTTCAGGCATGCAAAACCGAACTGAGGTGTCTTCAGTCGTGATGTAAAAGCCACACTGTGCTCTCCCCGCTCCTCCAGCTGTCGACCGTTGCTGCATGACTGAGCTGTATGAAATGCTGGTCATTTTTTATGTCTAGCAACCATAGAAACACACAGGGAAGTAAATTCCCGGAGCAGGACAAGCCGTGGTCCTGGGTTATTGATTCCCTTTCCAGGGCTTCAAGCGCTGAAAAGTTTCCTGTCCCATCCAGAAATGCACTTCACATTTTTTTGTTTGAAGGATGCTACTGGCGAAAGGGAAATGCACCAGGAAGCGCTGGGGTAGCACAGGGAGGAGGCTGTCAGAGAGACAGCTCTGGGCAGCACTCCAGAGAAGACCAAAAAGAGGAACGGTGAAATCAGATTTACTACAGGCCCCCCTCCTTTTTTTAAAGAGTGGGGTAAAATTGCTAATTTTTGCCTTAACCACTCAGGGGCTCTCAGAGTGACCCCACAACTGTGGTAACACCCCCCCATTCCCCACTTTCATCACTGCTGCTGGAAGGCACTGTCTGGAAGTCACAGGCTCAGCCCTGGCTGGCGGGAGGGGAAGAGACCCCACGGCTTTTGGTGGGCTCCTCACAGCATCCTGACACTGGACTCCACCTCACCCTGGATCCCCTCATTTTAACCTGCCCTGTCCTTGGCTGGGGGGGCACAGTTCACGTTGCGCGAGGTCCCCCTGCAGGGGCTTGTCTGGCCCCAAGTGTGCAAGAGGACATCCTTGGGTGTGCAAGAGGACATCCGTGGGGACGGGGATGGGGCTTGGCACGGGGCTTGTCCGCAGTGGACCTGACCTAGCACAGGGGTAGGCTGGCTCCAAGCCAAGGCCAGGCTGGGGCCCTCCAGTTGTTGCTCCCTGTCACTCTTGGCCTAGAGGGGTCACCTTGGGGTGGGAGGCCGAAAGGAAGCCAGAGACAGGAAAAGTGAAATTTCAAAATACGCCTCAAGACGCAAGTGGATGAGGAGAGGGGATGAGCTGGGCTTGTTCTGCCCGGGCGCAGGGTTGGTGCTTCCCTCTGCCCAGTCCCGTGGGGGGGTCTCTGGGCCGGGACGCAGGCCCTGGCGCGGAACTGGGTGCCGAGGTGGTGGCAGCGCTGCCTGCCCTGCCTGGGACA